TGGAAAATAGTCCGGGCAAATGATTTACTCCTGTTTAAATAGATCTACATTGTATAACGAATGACTAAGGAATGTTTTTAGTCTTTTTTTTTATCAAAGTTGTTTGTTAGTTTTCTTTAAAGACCCATGTGCCACAGACAGGGTAGGAAAGTTAGAAAGTATTTAGTGACAAATTATCACATTTACTCGACATTGACAAAAAAAATTAAAGAATATCACAATCCTTTTCCTTTTATTTGGTAAAAGCCTAAAGTGCCGGAGTATCATAATTTTAGTTATCATCATTAATTCCCAATTAATTGTATCTGCAATTTAATAATGTGAAAAGATGCCTATCTATCAGTAATTAGATTATCCTTTACAGTACTGAATGTTGTACATAATAAAGCTTAAAATTATTACATAGTGTGAGTTTACAGTATATATTACTCATCGACTACATTGTGTTATTCATTTTAGTCCCACCTACATACCCTAATTCTCCCTCCTGTGCTATTGCTCTCTTTCCCCTTTTTCCTGCTTTTCAAAGGGTGAAACATCATAACATCCTCCAGCTGGTTGATGCTTTTGAAACGAAGAAAGAGTACTTCCTTTTTCTGGAGCTGTGAGTATTATTAGATGCACTTGAGAGAAATGTTGGCACAGACTGACGTGCACTGTAATTTCTCAACTTGTATGAGACTGATTTTTTTTTTATTCAACATGTGTTATAACTCAACATGTGACATGTACTCAATTTGGATCTACCATCTTTTAGCGCTACAGGCAGGGAGGTATTCGACTGGATCTTAGATCAAGGATACTACTCTGAGAGGGACACCAGCAATGTTATGAGGCAGGTGTTGGAGGCTGTAGCTTACCTGCACTCTCTGAAAATTGTCCACAGAAATCTGAAGGTACACACTGCTGACACCTAGTGAAACATTGTAGCATTTCAACACAGGCCAAACATGATATGTATGAAAAAACACTTTAAAAGGGCGTTCCAGTTAGATAAACGCTTATTTGTTTACTTATACAGCTGGAGAACTTGGTGTACTTCAATCGTTTGAAGCACTCCAAAATTGTTATCAGCGACTTCCAGTTGGCAAAACTGGAAAAAGGATTCATCAAGGACCCGTGTGGGACTCCAGAATATCTTGGTTAGTAACATAAAACTAGAAAGTAGATCAATAAAAAATGAAACAGTTTTAGCTTAATTCAATTCATAGGTTTGCAGTCCTACAGTAAAAACAAGCGTTGTTCCTATTGTCCGTTAGCTCCTGAGGTGGTGGGAAGGCAGAAATATGGACGACCTGTGGACTGTTGGGCCATCGGTGTCATCATGTATATACTGTAAGTACTCATCAAATAGTGAAGTTCATTTAATTTACTTTATCAAAAAAGCTAAAATGCTCTCATTCTGCCTCCTCAGTTTGTCTGGAAACCCACCTTTCTATGACGATGCCGATGAAGATGATGATCGTGATAAGAATCTTTTCCTAAAGATTTTGTCAGGCGACTATGAATTTGATTCCCCATACTGGGATGACATTTCAGATTCTGGTAAGAGATAATCAGTTTGTTAAGGATGTCATTCAAAAGTGAAAATGAATCTACTTTTTTCTGTCATTGATGATGTATTTAAAGACTGAATTTCAGCTTCTTTTTTTTTTTTACAGCCAAAACTTTAGTGGCATCTCTGATGGAAGTGGACCAAGACCAGCGATTGACAGCACAGGAAGCTATTGCACATGAATGGTAAAAAAAAAAAAATTAAGTAAATCAAATATTTAGACACATTTCAATGTATTCACTTTTTTTTATGCAGGTAACACAAATATAATAAATATAATATCATAATGAAAAAATGTTTCTTTCTTGTCAGGATTTCTGGAAATGCTGCCTCAGACAAGAACATCAAGGATGGTGTGTGTGCACAAATAGAAAAGAACTTCGCCAAAGCCAAATGGAAGGTATAACTATCTCACTTATCAATATATTGGGCAACATTAATTATTACAGGTGTTGGACATAATATTTATTTAATACTGATACTATCATGACCCAAGTCTGCAAGTAGGACTGTAGCCTACTGTTTTTTGGAAATTCTCTTGGTTTGCTACACTTCTTTGATTACCACTTTTTAAAACTGATTAGGTATACATATACATACTGTAACCCATTTAACTTCTATTCAAATCCATGATAATCCGGTGCTGCAACAAGGCATTCTACTTAACTGCAGTTTAACATGTGTGAACATTTTACTGATTTATCCCTGAGGCAGACTGACAGCAGTATGTGTTATAAACATAGAAAAAGAGACGGAGAGAGAGAGAGAGATACCAAGTGACTCTACCATAATATATATAGAAACAATTATGTATACTTTTCAAAATATAATTTCTCTCAGCCAGAGGCCTTCCCAAAAGCATCCATCAGAGTCAAGTAAAGTAAAGTGTGTTGTATGATACCACCTAAATTAAACCCAAATGTGTTTTAATTACTCACAGAAAGCTGTAAGAGTGACCACCCTGATGAAGAGGCTTCGAGCGTCTGAGCCGGGCGATCCTGGGGCCTCCGGTCTTGTTGAAGGAGCTGCAGCTGAGCCCAGCGGGGCGCCTGCTCCTGCAGCTGGGGGCAGCAATCTCTTTGCTGCCAGCCTCAAGGCAGCTCTCAGCGAAAAGGCTCCTGAGACACAGACTGCCACCATCACCGCAGTCTCCCTGCCCAGTGCAGGCAGACAGGAAGAGCAGCCACAGGCACCGTGCAATGGTGATGTTACCCAAGTGTTGCCAGAGAAAAAGGAAGACTAGGCGCCAAACAAATATGAGAGGAGGACCAACAAGCACATGTGAAGTACAGCCAATACATTTGGCATTATGATACCAGGTCTATGTGGTTTGACTACCCCTTAGTTTGCAGAGTTATTTCATCACATCATGCATTTAATCATGTTGCCTTCTGTATTGATTGGTCTATTGAATAGTGTTCGCTCCTCTCCTTTGTTATTTTGTGTACCAGTCCCTTTAAAGCTAGTTGCAAAGTAGCTCTTATGTTGTTTCCTTTCCCCTGAAAACTGTTAAAACAAAATGTAATTTAGTGGAATCTGCTCATCTTTATTCCACAGCTCTTGTATATAGTTGTATTTGTCACTTGCTGGTTATCAGTTTCAGAACTTACAATCCGGAGTTCATTTCTTGTAACTTGAAATTATAAGTTGAATGATTTGTTTAAAATATTTGGACAAAATGCATTGATTTGTTTAAAATACTATGCTTTTCAGTATAGGAGTTAAAGACATTTAATTTGTTTTAAAAAGGTAAAAAAAAAACACATGAGACACTGATGACTACCCTATGAAGTTATGTAACCATCCCATACTATGATTAATGTGTTTTCAACTTAACACCCTGATATCTGCTGGTTTACCTTTTTTGCTGTAAAATTTCAGTCAACTTACAATTTTAATTAGCAAAAAAGCATATTTTAAGTTAAGTGCCTTAATATTTGTTGCAGTAATGTACGTTATGTTTCAACAGAATCGACATGATAATAATTACTTACTGATTTCTTTGAAATGTTTTGGTGTTTCCCTTTGCCTTTCTGTTGAGTTTTAAGCTGCCGTATTGATACTTGTGTTCTGTCCTCTTTCACACACAGAAAAAACTAAATGTAGGTGGTTGTATGTGGAGTGATGTTTTAACTCATTGTTGTGTTGTCACTTGTAATAAGTACATTTCTGAGTTTATAGCGGAGTCCATGTACTGTGCCACTTTGTATTTTTGCAATGTATACATGTGTATTTTTTTATTTATGTGTGTATTTGGCAACATTTAGCTGAGCTAACGGTTTGCTACACTGCTTGTGAATTAATAAAATGAGCAATACTGATATTGATGAAACTGTGTTATTATTTCTAAAAGTACCCTTACTGACAATTTTACTATTTGACCACACAGGTCAGCACACCAACCATTTCCCTTGCATCCAAACATTTATAGCAAACCAACATCTTCTGTATTTAATGTCAATTAATCAAAATGTTCTGTATTTAATTTCAATGGAGACAACCAATTGATCATGCATGTGAAATAGGTATGGTTATTCATATTGTACACCAAATTAAATCCATAGCAAAACTTTTATCTTTGTATGGCTCTCGGGACCCAAATAATTAAAAAGAACTGAATTGTACATGTTTTGTAAAGACAAGCTTGATGATAGTTGAATGTCTATTCACGATATTGTGAAGATTTTTCCAAAGAGGTGTGTTTATTCAAAACTGGAATACTTGGCATATAGACATATTTTTCAGGCTCGTGTTAGGATAAACTTGTTTTGATGAAAAATGACCATGAACTTGCTGTGCTATTTTTATCAAGGCCTAGACATGTACCAAACATAGACTGTACACAAATCAATCATAAAAGCGGTTGCATCCTATACAACAATTGTTATACTTTTAAAATGTGTTGACTGCAATTTGGCCCTTCTTAGTTTTTATTTTTCAGACAGGGGTGCTAGTGGACTAATCGGCGGATAAACTGTGGCTTCAGATAACGAGGTGAGGCCCCCTTATAACTGCATTAACCCGTATGGCACAACATTACAACTCAGACTGGCGTACCTGTACGCCAATCAAGTGGCAAAGGCCATAGTAAGGATGGAGGATAGGCTAACTTTAAAAAAAAAAAAAAAATCATTATTTTTTTCCTATTTTTTTTTCAATGCCATGCGATCTACCCACACTACCTTCGCAATCGACGTATTGGGCACCCCTGATCTACAGATTTGTGTATCTTTCACATTCAACTTGTATATATTTAACTTTTTAGTTCTGTTTTATTTTCCTATTTTGAAATGCTTATTATGTCATCTTTGAAAATTCTCTATTTTTATTTGTTTTCAAATTGTGTGCAATGCCTTGTTTTTCTCAATTTGGGATCAATAAAGTGTGTCTTCTCTTAACCGCTGGGGGGCAGCACGTCTCACACAGCGTCAGGTTTGCAGATCCAAAGAAGAAGAAAACGGAAGATTCGTCTCGGCTGCAGCGACTGAAGAATCAGTTCGTGAAGCCGTCGACAACCTTAACGATAAATCTCGGAAATATCGATACTAAGCTCAAAGAACAAGCAAGGTACGTTTTTATAGAGGCAATATCTATGTGATCATATTGGCATTTAAAGTCAGTACGATTGTCTGTTAGTGAATGAATGCTAACGCAGATAGACCGGCTTCCGTGGTAAGTATTAGCCAAGTTAGCTTCGATAGCGTCACCAAGGTAAAGATCCTTAACGTTTGTTTTAGCCGTCTTTTGCTCGGTAATTTAATCACAATAACATTCCCATTTATATGCAGAACTTACCTTAAATACGTGTGTTTACTGTAATATAATTATGATCAATACTCATACCGTTTGTTTATGTTGTGGCGTAGATGTTGGAGGGCCTAGTGATGGCTAGCGGGCCAACATGAGCAATATCACAGCCTGTGCTACGAGCCACAGCTTTGACGTATGCAGCCATCTTTAGTATCGTCATTGTAACACCAAAATAACACACTGGCATACATTTTAAACCACCATTTCTTCATGTTTGTTTACAATATGTACTATTTTTATTTAGATTGAAGCATTTATTAACCCGCACTGGTACCTCCACATTTAAATGTATGTAACGTTGTTCACATATCTGTATATACATATATCGAGATCGTAAAGCACTTAAAGCAAATGTGTGATTTGTCATAGTGGGCTATATAGCTTTTTCATATTAGAACTTAATGCTGCCATACGCTCAAATATTTTGACGCTCGTCTAATTTTGGGTTGTACTTTGAAAGTCCATTTATTGGTTGTATTATGATTGATATACCTGCCACAAACAAGTCAAAAGAAGTGTTTGTATTCATTTACCTCCAACTTTGCTTCCAGATAAGACACTGACTTACAAACATGTGGAACGGACCAGGGCCAGGACCAAGGGGAGGACCACCCTTTCGGTAAATACGCATCATTTAGTTATAGGCATTGATTTAAAAACAAATTCGAAATTGGTATTAAGACATAACTGTCTAGTAAGAGCTTTTTGCATTTGCCTCTAATAATGTTTTCTAGGGATGGGCAATGTGGGTTAAAAACAGGTTACCACAGTTGAAGTAATATTCACATGTTATATGATATGATTTAGTACATTTTCTGGGAATCCTAATGTTTAAACTGTTTTCACACTTGATGCATTTGATGGTTACTTTATTTTTTATTATTTTATTAAATAAAAAACACTGAAAATAGAAACATTTATAAGGCTCATTATTACCATATTGTCCTCCCCTTCTTTAAGCCTTTTCATGCTGATTGGATGAGCAACTATACAAATAAACATTCATATCTTCCGTCACCATATTGTTTTGTTATAAGTTTTACTCTTTGGTTGTGTTCCATTCAAAAATCATCCTAATGTGTTGATGTATATATTGCAGCAGTGATCAACGTGGAGAAATGTTTGGTGGCAGAGATCGTCCCATGCCTGATTATAGAAGTAGAGATGCGATGAACATGGGTCAAATGGGCCCAAGACCTCTAGATATGCCACACATGGATATGAGAAGGATGGATGGGCCACACATGAGGGGGCATGACATCGACCCACGTGATATGCGAGGTAGAGAGCAAAACAGAGATTTTGGCGGACCTGGAGAAGATCCAGACTTCAGTGTACGAAGGCAATATGAAATTTCTATCAGAGACAAACTGATGAATGCTTCTGGTTTCCCGGGACAAGGCAGAAACTCAGACATGGAAGGGAGGGGTATGCCACCACAGGAACCAAACAACAGATTTATGGACATGAGAGACAGAGAATCTTTTAAATATGACACGCCACCTTTCAACAATCCTAATATAGATGGAAGAAGAGGGTTTCCCATGGAGCGGAATGAAGGATTTAGGGACATGCGTGAAAGGCCCCCAAAAGGCGATGAAGGCAACGATGGTTATGATATGGACTTACCGCCACATGAAAGGAGAATGATGGACACTGACAGAAGAGAAGGGCCCCCTTTCAATCCAAGAGGCGGATTTGATTCTGATATGGATTTCAGAAATCGTTCAGGTCCATCAGGTGAATTTAGAGGTAGGGATCGATCTCCCTTAAGATTTGGAAACCGTAATGTCCCTCCAGTGGACAGGGCAAGACCAGACATGCCTTCAGATATGGCTGGACCTCCAAGATCAAAGTTTATGGGAAACGCACCCAGGGAGAGAGAGTTCCCAGAATCAAGTGGCAGCCCCCTAATGGACTATCGAAGTGGTGAAGAGATGACTCTTGCAGAGGAATGGAAGAATCGTCGAAAGGAGAAGATTCCCCCTTCAGAAATGGGTAAAGGTATGGGAGTTGTCCCCGCACCTAGCTTCCCTGTAGGATTTGGCAGAGATGTAAATGTCAGAGATCCACCACCATTTCAGGAAAGGGATAGGCCACCTGTTGAATTCCCGGGGAAAGGGGTCGGCTTTCCTCGTGTTGACCACTTTCCTGGTATCAATCTACTACCATCAACTGCCAGCAAAGCTCCACATGTTCATCCACCCCCGGAAATAAGTCCCCATACTGGCCCTCCCGGGAGAGAAAATGAGAGCAAACATTGGCTCGGAGAAAGAAACCCAAAGCATAGTCAGAATAAATCAATTCGTGATGAAAGGCTTCCTTACCATCAAGAGAAGAATCAGCATTCACATTTGATACAGGAGCCAGGTGATTGTTTTAAAGGGATGAAAGATATCCCACAAAATCAAGGACATGTCAGGGGTAAGATGGGGGAAGAACATGATTTTCAAGGCAGCAGCACTGTGCAAGCAAAAGACCAAGACTACAGGGACATTGATTACAGAACAGGCCCCGGGAGGTCTTTTGACTACAAACATGAAGCACTTCCAGTACCAGAGAAACTTCTCAAAGAGTCTAAACCAATCGCAACTGCCAAGTTTAGTGAGTCCGGTTCTCAGGTAAGTTTTTATTTTATTTTTGTGTTTATAAATAATATGCAATATAATTCTACGTTTCCTAACCCAATTTTAAATGAAATGTTCTCTGAAAGGATCAAGATTACAGGAATGCATCAGTGGAAGACAAAGTTTCCAACACAATATCTATAATTGGTATTCCAAAGACTGCCACTATGGAGCAGGTAATAATAATAATAATAATACAGAAAAGCATCTTTACTTTGTAAATCTTGATTTTATGGTTACTAGATTTTGTTTGCATGGAAAGCCATGGCCAAACTCAATCTATTTGACACTTTTGTTTTGCAGATTCTTGGTGCCTTTGCAGTCCATGATGGTGTGCCAATGCAGGGGATGAAAATCAAAAATGTTGTGCCAGGTAAGAAACAAGTTTCTTTGTGTAGCTGTTTGGGGCAATCGATCGCTAACATGTCCCTCGATTTTTCGCTTTTACGACATTCTTTCTTTTTTACATTGTTGGTTGCTTTTGTTGTTGGTGGTCTGTGAATTCGCTCATTAAAGAAGGAAGGGGGGTTTTGTTATGCCACCCTTTTTTTTATGTGCGAGACGTCGGGTCATTGTGACAATAAGAGGAGTTACCAAGGATCAATATTAAGTCTTTTGGAGAATGTTGGTCACAAACGATCTGTGACAAGTGATTCACTGAACGTGTCACTCTGACACTCTTCTCTAGGTACTGAACATAAGAATGTCAACAAACTTGAAATGGAGACTGCCTTGTTAGTGCTTCCTCATCCTGCCGATCTTAACACTTACTTTAAAGTGTTTTCCACAGTGGATCTCTGTAGACATGGTTATCGATGGCAAGCCTCATTATTATGTCTCAAAAGCTTTTCATACTACACCAAAATGTCCGTCACAGGAGGGTTTTTGTTATCTGATAAACATGACTGGTAAACGTTCTGTCTCCACGGTGCAAACCACACAGTTGTTCACTGCCACTGGTTTGGAATATCTGCCAGGAAAGGCTTTGATAAAGCCAAGCCATAACAGACAGAGTCTGATAGGTCATCAGTCATCAGAAGACTGAATAGAAAAAGCAATAACAAAATGTGTGTTTTCCTGAAAAGGTATGTGTGTAGGTAAAACTGTCAAAGATTCGCTCACATTGATCTCGATGTATTCACGAACTGCTGTCTTCTATGTTTTAGTGGGTGACTGTCATTACTGGAATTGACTAACAAAAACCCATCTGTATTTCAAATGCTGTCCCCAGGTTACAGCTACGATACGGCCTATGTGGAGTTTTTAAACCTCGAGGATGCAGTCCACTTCATGGAGTCCAACAAGGTGGCCCATCCTCGTCACACTACGAAGGCCGTCTCTCCCATCAGGATTATGAGGGGTTGAGAGGGGATTTAGTAGATGGGGAGGGGGAGAACCTGGGAAGGGGTTGCTTTTCCTCTATAATGTCAGTTGTTGACATTTCTAGAAGCTAATATATGAAACTGCAAAAGATGAGCCTAGCTTTGCATAAATTATCATTACTTTCTAGTACTTCAGGTTACTTGTTAAGCACTTGAATGCTTTAGAAAACATACTTTAACTTTGTATATTCTAACACAAACATGTTAATATTTCCTGCTAGTGCTAAATCTTTATATTTTAACCCCAAACTTCCTTAGCCTGGAATAGATTTAAGCAGATAATACAGATGTTTGGTGGGAAAGCAGTTTTTCCAATCTGTTCCTAAACTTTTAAGATTTGGTTTTACAAATATGAGAAGACACGATGTTGATAATAAAGGTACTTCATAAAGCCCCCATGTCATGTTTTGCGATTTTGCCTTTGTAGCAAAGAGGATTGACGGAAATGTAATGCGGCACTTTTGCGTTGCGTGACCTTCGAAGTAGTTTCTTTTGAGGAAGCTGTCGACGTTCAGACAGTCTGCCCTAAAACAAGCAAGGGGCTGGTTGTTTGTTGGGCCAGTATTTTGTCTTTACTGTCCATGTGAGTATTAGAAATAGTGTGTTGCCTACCAAAGTAATCGACCAACAATGTGTATTTAACTGAGTGGCCCAGCTCTTTTCCGGAGGATGTTGCATTGTGGTCAGGTAGAGGTTTATCTTGGTTTTACTTTTTGTAGTTTCTCAAATGGCCACTTGAGGCTGGCTAAGTCAATCTCTATTTTCTTTAGCTTAGGTCCCCTTTTCATGTGAGTTGTTTTTGTAGAACTCACACATTTAAGGCTTAAAGTCACGCATAACGAAGGGTTGGGCAGCTTTTAATGACAGTTAAGTGCTGTCACAGGTGGCTTGGTGCTAGCTGCCGACTCTGCCTGTGCAGAACTCAGATCCTCTGACAATCCACAGGTTTGACTTTTTTAGTTTTAGCCGAGAGCTATGCAGAATCAACACTGCCAAGATGGCAACGACTGGAGCCACCCTTTTTGAACCTCACAACAGCTCTACAGAAATATGGCTTCAGGAAGACTACGTCAATGTTTCATGCCATCTACTTTTTTTTCCGTTTTTATATCACGGAAGCTGGGTTGGCTTCCTTACCATGTTGACAGACTGGCATCATCATCATTCAAAGATTGTGGAGGGTTCTGTTTTTCACGGAGTACGAAAGTCTATCTCAAAACCACCTTATTAGTGAGAACACAGTGCACATTTTGTAAGTTTATTCATAATAGAAATGACTATTTTTGAGATTTACAATCCTTCTTAAAGAGGAATATTTCTTTTTAGGAGTTTTAGGGCAATGTAGTGATAAAAACGTTGGTAAAATGATTGGGTTTTCTTTTAGCTATGCTAGTGGTGTCGCTCATTGACTGACAATTGTGGGATGGTCCGTTAGTTGGATTGCATTGACATTTTGTATGAAAATTGGGTTCCCCAGAGGAAGCAGCCAACATGATTTTGTTGATCCCTTGACTATAAGGTTGACATTTTGGGTTTATTAGTGAAATGTCTCTACAATTATTGGATGGATACTCTTACTATTTGGGACGGATATTCATTGTGTCCAGGGGACGACTCCTGACTACTTTGGTTATTCTTTGGAGTTATCTGGTGAAGTATCTTTACGACTTCTTGATTGCTTGAAAAGCCTTTTTTATAAAGATATTCATGGTTCCCAGATGATGAATTCAAATAACTTTGGTGATCCCCTGACTTTTCCTCTAGCGCAATCAAGTCAACTTTTCAATTTATGTAATACGTGGTTTATCTATTTAACTATCCAGTCTCACGAAACCACTGGGGGGCCTGCACGCTTTCTTTTGAGTGTCCCTGCCAGTTCTTCAGACAACATTTCTTTCACCAGTTCGAGGCAATTTTGGTCATCTGTGACTTTCCAGAAAAGTGCATGTCCTCTTCTTGGTATTCTCTTGAACTCATTGTTGGTGAACTTTGGCCATCAGGACTTCTTCTTTCTCTCAACACTGGCAGGGCTTGATGTCCCTGAGGGTAATGAAGATGAGTAGAATTATTGCTGAAATGTACAGCAGTTTATCGTTTGGCTTTGCCATTGGGTCGCTTTTGGCAGATATTTTGCAGCTTGTGAAGTAATTTGTAAACACTAGGTGATGTACTGTAGGTGGTTGTAAGGTCAGTTACTTAAATATCAAAGATTCAAATGGCCACCTATACGTTTTCACGAGTGATAAAGCTTTGTGCTTTATGATATGGCTTAATGTCTGGTTTGAATGGTTATTCCAGTTTTGTGCAAATGAGGTGTTCTCTGGAATTAATCAGCGTTGAGTTTTACTTTTCACATATGGATGTTCAACACAGTACTACCAAATTTCAGAGTACATTTCCATCTGCAATGAGCTTCCCTCTGCACAGCAACACTCTAGTCTTGGAAATAGTGTTTTTATTATGACACAATTACAATACTTAACCTACTGAAAGCATGGTTCTCATATTGCACTAATAATTCTGTTTTTATTTGGATTATAATGTGGACAACCATAAGCACATATTTTGCACATTTCTTTTTTTTATGCTAAACATTGAATGGTTATTTTAAATTGTTCAGATCTTCTGCTTTTGTTTGTATATATTGTGGTAGTAAACTACATATCTTTGGGTTTTGGTTGTACAAACAAAGCAATTTGAAGATGTTACAGTGGCCCAAAGGAATTATGATGGTCACTTTTTTACTTTTTTGTCGTCTCCAGTTTTAAACAATAAGCCCTTTTTTTGTTGTTGAGAATATTAGGTATATGAGCATAAATAATTTAGCTGCAGCTCTAATTTGTAGTTCACTTTTCAAAATAGTTTGAGGGCATATTGCTTGTGTGAAGCATGATCTTCGTTCTGGGCTAGTCTCACCACCATAAGTGTTCGCCCGTTTTATCTTCAGCAGTGAAGAGGAAGGCTAAACCTGCCACAGTGCATGTTGGGTGTCATTGGTATTATTTAAGATATCCCCAGATGATGCTGATTGATCATTTCTGTTCTTCTTCTTACAGGGATCCCTAAAGGTTGGCAGTAGAACAACATCCATGAAGTTCATTCAGCCAGAAGAGTGTGAAAGAAGTGTTCATGTGAGTGCTGAAAGAAAATGATTGTCTTTTGTTGTTTCTGTAGTTTATTACATACTCTAAAAAAATAAATACTGGATCCGCGAGCTGCATGAGATACTGACGGGCGGAGAGAGCGCTCCGTTTATTATTCCCGTGTTATTATAAATTACTGTACACTTTTGAGTAATCTAGTTAAGCTACTATAATCAGTTTAATATCGAATCATATCAGTTTGTTTTAAAGCTCATTAAATAACAAAGAAGACCTTTGACCGGCACTTTTCAAATTTTTGTCCGGAAGATTTAAACTGTAACGGGCAAAAAAAAAATCTAACGGGAACTCTGGGCACAACAACTATGAAAAGTCACCCGAATGCGGTAAGTAGTAGCTTAGCTTAGTTGTTGTCCAGTTGCCATGATGAAGCTGCTTTATCCGCAGTTTAAACAGTAACGTTACACATGATAAAAACGTGCTCGCCGAATATTCGTTGCTGATTAATACCGAATATCCGGAGCCCGAAAAATGGTATTCAGGAGAGCCCTACTTTGCAGCCATTTTTACTTCACAGTTTAAAAATAATAACGTGTCCCTTCTTTCTGTCTCTGTCTATTAGGAATCAGATCACAAAGTACCTCAACTCCAGGAGCCCCAGTTGCCCAGACCAGATCAGCCTTTAGAGGAGTTGAAGACCAACCTAAACGGGTCCCAACCAAAAGGCCCTATTGAACCATTGTCCCTTACCCAGTGGCAGCGTAGCTCTGACCTGACACCTGAGGCCTGGCAGCAGCAGGTGGACCAACTGCTCCAACAACAGGAAACAGAGCAGCAGGTGGAGACCTGGGGCAACCGCAACCTTCCCCATCACGGTTCACACCAACCTGAGTCTGTCTTTAAGGACAGCAAAAGTAAGTTGACTCAAACTCAAACTTGTTGATGAACATTAGCTTTGGAGCTTGTTTTTTTGATCACATTTGTATTGAGATTAATACACACCATGTACAACCAAAAGCACAACATGTTTTCTTTTTTTAAATAACTAAAAGCACATTTGACAACAGCAATTACTTACAAAATGCAGAATACATATGTAAGCTAAAAATAATACAGACAAATAAAAATAAAATAAACCACACACACACACACACACACACACACACACATATACATATACATATACATATACATATACATACACACACAGAGCGCTATCAGACAGGAGTGTATACCCTCACTAACACATGCACACACACAGGGAAACGCATAGGTTGCAATTTGAAAGGCTGTGGATTAGGGGAAGGGAGANACAACCAAAAGCACAACATGTTTTCTTTTTTTAAATAACTAAAAGCACATTTGACAACAGCAATTACTTACAAAATGCAGAATACATATGTAAGCTAACAATAATACAGACAAACAGAAATTAAAATAAACCCAACACACACACACACACACAGCACTATCATACAGGAGTGTATACCATCACTAACACATGCACACACACAGGGAAACGCATAGGTTGCAATTTGAAAGGCTGTGGATTAGGGGAAGGGAGAAATACTTCTAAAAGATCTTTGAAGGAATCAACTGCAGGGCTCCAATTGTTTAGCTATGGAGCTTGTTTTATTCTTTTGTTATTCATGACCAAGTTGGATAAACAACACTCTCTTGTGTCTCTTTACAGCCATGATAATAAAAAATGTGAAGCCCACGACCACAGTGGAGACCATCTTGAAGGCCTTGGATCCCTTTGCTTATCTGGATGAAAGAAATGTTCGCCTAGTCAAAGCCAAGCCACCAGGATCCAAGTGCTTCTGCTTTGTTGACATGGACTCCCATGAGGTACCCTTTTTAAAATATGAATGCTTACAGTTTGCTGTTTATTGACTTAATGTTCTATCAAAGTTGACTCTTCCCCTATCATTTTCCAGCACTTACCTTTTGTCTCTCCTCTTGTAGCAAGTGACACGTCTGGTGGAGCTCCTCACCAAACCCAGACCCCTTTATGTTGATGGAGTCAGAGTTTATGCTGAGGTCGCAAAACCTCTGAAGAACCAAAAGTAAGTCGCCATTCTGCGTTCCTTAATTATCTGCTATATCTTGTAGAGAATTCCCACCTCCATTGTTTCTGATTATTTGTCTTTGTGTCTTTTTTCAGCTTCAAGAGAGAATTTGACAAACCAAACGGTTCCATCCTTGGGTTTCCACCTGATCCCAGCATGATGGGGGTAAGATGTTGCCTTGATTGTTTCTTTTTTTTGAAAGTTAATAAAAACAAGAGGATGACCTGTGATGCATTTTTCCCTTGGGACTTCAGCAGCAGCATTTCCCACCCCCCCCACAGTTCTTGCAACCTCTGCTGCCACCTCCTGCTGCTGCTGCCGCCGCCGCTGGATTGCAAGGTGGGGATCAGGCACATAATATTGGCATCTTGTTCCCTGAGCCCTGTTTATAATCACTAAACCTACACATTAAACATTCCTAAATATCGTCAT